GACCCAGGAAAATGTTGAGCTAATCCATCATAATTTAATCAGTAGCAAAAACAAAAATAAGGAATTAATATCCAAAATATATAAAGAACTGTATACTACAACAACAAAAAACAAACAACCCAATTAAAAATATGCAAAGGGGGGGGGCGCCTGGGTGGCTCAGTCGTTAAGGGTCTACCTTCAGCTTAGGTCATGATCCCAGGGTCCTGGGATCGAGCCCCACATCAGGCTCCCTGCTGGGCGGGGAGCCTGCTTCTCCTTCTCCCACCCCTGCTGCTTGTGTTCCTTCTTTCGCTGTATCTCTCTCTGTCAAATAAATAAATAAAATCTTAAAAAAAAAAAAAAAAACCCTATCTCCCGTGCCGTATTTTTCTATTGTATTCTCTATGTGTGCTGTTTTAGTTCTGTGTAGGAAGACTATTAAAAATCACTGTCCCCCACAAAAAAAAAAATAGGCCACTGTCCCTTTTTCAATTACTCTATTAGAAGTGATAGAGGTCAAAGGTCTCCTTCTTCCTTCCTCGTATTACAATGCATTTGCTATTTGCTTTGAAGGTTCTATTTAAGCTAAATCTTCTTTTAAAACATACTCCCCATAGAGTTCCATGCATATTTATCCATATATTCAATGTGGTAAATATTTATTGAGGGAGGAATGTAGGACATACTCATCTTCAATGTACCAGGTACTTTACATACATTCTCACAAAACCCATGAGATTAGTAGTGTTATTTCCTATCATTTCCATTGTACCGGAGAGGCAACTGATGCTCACAAAGGGACCTCACCGTTATTAGAGTCAGAAACTGCACTTTGGTCTATAAAAAGCAAAGTTCAAACCCTGTCCTTCCCCAGCACTGCCTTAACCAAGTGTAAATTGGTCAGGATGACCATTTGTCAAAAAAATAAATATTTCTTATCACTGGATTTTCAAGAATGGATAATCCTGATGCACTCCTATGCAAATTTTCATCTCTATATCATTCCTTAAAATATTTTTAATGCTTTTCTAGATTTGTAAGATTCTCTCTCTCGTATTTGAAATAATTAGTAAATGAGAACATCAATTTTCAATCAACTTATTATAATGCTTAATGAAATTCATGTAAGAATTGAGGGCTCAATATGAGAAACTCAATAAAATCCTTTATTGCCTAATACATGAAATGATATCATGGTTGTTTCTAGAAGTCAAGGATTAAACTAAGAAATGTAACTTAACCAAGAGAACGTAGAAGGAGGAAGGGCTGAGGTGGTATAAAGGAGCTCAAAAGAAGGTGATCTTCAAGGGAAACATTGAACTGTGAGCACAAAAGCAGCAAAATCCAGATCGTGGAGCATTCTATAGGCCAAATAACCCAGGCTCTTTAACAGATAAATTATAAGAACAGAAAAGGACAGGAGGGCAAATCTATAAATTAAAAGACATATCACAGTTTCTTCTTAGTGGATAACACTAAATTGCTATGTCTAGGAATGCGTAATTAGATGGTTCTAATATTACAAAAATGCAAGAAAGTAATTACTACCCAAGTCAGTCAGGGTTGTGATCACTTATGGGGGAGGGAAGGGCCTATGGTTGAAAGGGGGCACATAGGACATGTGCCCCCAAGATGATAGCAAAATTATATTTATATTATATTTCTTCACCTGTGTGGTGCTTGCAAGGCTACAAAATAATAGCCAGATGTTTTACATAATCAATCCCTCATAATCCAAAAAGAAGTTTAATGAACACAGAACCAATCACCACGGAGATCTGGTCTCTCAGTGATCATGAAGCTCAAGGTGAAAGGAAAATGGGGAGAGGAGAGAGAGGGACTGTGTCAGAATCCATGAGTGGGTCAGGAACAAATTTAATGCGGAGAGATTCCATTTTTGTGATATAATTTTCTTTGAGGTGTTTTCCCATTTCCATATCCATTCTCCCACAGTGCCATGGAACAAGGGTACCACCCTCGAATCAAGAGACTCAGACTTCTAGAGAAGGAGTATGGCACGGCTAACTAGCCAGGAGGGGAAGGGGTCACAGGGGCACTCAGTGAGGTTACCAGAGTGTTGATGAGGGAAAATCTCAAAAAACTGAGATCAGGATTTCCTTCAGAACCAAAAAGGAATTCCCCATTTGGAAGAGAAAGGTGGTGCTGTTGGCAGACCCTGGAAAAAGAGGCCCAAGATCCCACTTCTCAGTTAGAAAACTGAAGAAACAACGAGAAATTAAAAAGAAAACAATGTTGTGATGTTCCCAAGGATGGTGTTGAAGCAACATTATAATTTCTGCAAAGTATATAAATATATCAGATTAAAGGTTACTCATTTACCCTTCCATTCCCAAAGAATGGTGATTTTTAAAAAGGGCAGGGGAGGGGTGGAGTTTGGGGAGGGGAGGGCTACCCCACTTTACAAAGGTTCACAAAGGTTCTTGTTCCTGGAGCTAACTCTGCAAACAAAAGATAAACAAAAGATACTCAACTTCCATGCACTTGAAAGCACTTCAAGTATATATGCAAAAGAATTAGGGAACACTTACAAATTAGGTATTCATGAACTGTTATAACATCTTTATATAATAAAGCAGGGAAAGCCAAGGGCAGAGGGGATATCAAAAGTTAGCTTAACTATGATTTGCAACAAAGGAGTGTATTGACATGACAACATGTTGGAAAATTAGTATCTTTTGTCACTGTCTTTGAGTTATAAGGAGGGCACTAAACAAATTACTGAAAAATTTTGTTCCTGGATATCATAGTTTCAATTTCATTAAACTGTACCAGACTTATAACAGTATTTTAAGGTCTCCTTTTCAAGAGAAAAAATACCTACAACCCTCCCCCATTAAAACTTGAAATTTGCTTCCATTTTAAAAGTGTTTCAGTAAGAATCAAAGCTGAATAAAATAGAAAGAATGAATTTGCAGGTTGATTTATGTGGAATGTTTGTGGGTTTGTGTTATTATTTCAAACCATAAGGGGAAGTATTATTTGAGTCCAAAGAACTCTTAATTTTTAATGGAATTAAAATTTCATCTGATGTAATCAATTGCCTAAACTTCTCTTGGATGTACTATGGCAAGATCATAAACTGTATACAAGCATGAACAATTCTGTACCTGCAACAAAGTTCCCTTGTATAGGTTTGTAACAGATAGCCAACAAGAATTTGTTTAACACAGGCAAATCATTTAACATACTCATCAAATGTCACCTTGCTCAATCTGGTCATACATACTTAGAAATTTACTAAGTCTGACAGATATATATCCTATATCCCACCTTTTAAGGTGTCATAGCCAACATTTGGCACAATTAGTTGTTATCAGACATGTTATCGCCTTATCACCTGCTCAAGGATGACCAGACACACAGCCTAAGCCTTCTGGTATTCTCTGGAATTAAAATTTAAGGTTAAACTTTGCCCTTCACTAGTCAAACATGGCAATTATTGAAGTCATCACAAGACCTGTCCAGTTACAAGGATGCATGTTTGATTTAGGAAGAATAGATACTTTTTTTAAGTTCCTATCAGAGTTCCAAAGGGTGTGTGGCTTTGAAACAAGAATTAAGATTAAAAACAAAACACCAAACAAACAAAACACCAAACAAACAAAACAGTGCAGGGCTCAGGTAGTCAGAATTATCCTGCTCACCCTTGCCTCCCATAAAGAAGCCTGCCATATTATTAGGAATTCTTTAAATCAACAGTCTACTTTATACTTCTCAGTCAGTTCTCAAATAGCCAGATGTCTTAAATGACAGTGTGTGCTGACCCTAGAAACGCAAAAGTAATAGTTTTGCAAAAAGCTCCTGCAGTTTAAAAGCTAGTTGTTTTTTGTTTAATACCATATAATGAAACAATAATAATGCAACTTGAAAAAAAATATTTTTGAATAGGATCCGGGGCAATTATGCTGGAACTTTTGAGGGACAGTAAAAGGAACAAACGAAAAATGTTTCTTGTAGTACAATGGTTCTTGTCTTGCCAACTACTCTGCAAAATTCCCCGCCCTGAAAATGATCCGCAGGGAACGCAAGCCAGGGTACCTGACGCACCTGTTGAGCCCAAGCCCCCAGAGAGCTCCGACTTAACACAGCTTCATTAAGTCGTGTTCAGTACAATTCGAAAGGGTACTGATGCAAAGAGGAATTATTCCTGGAGGAGGGCTCCTCCTAAAAGGTCAACAACTAACTACTTCGTGAAAATGCCTAAATAGCAATAGTAATGGCCTTTCAAAGCAGGGCTCTTCGCCGGCGAGGGCAGGTAAGGGGTCCAGCGTGAAACCCTTGGCAAACATCCAAACGTTTATGGATGGGTGAGTTTTCACGGAAACAATGTTCACGGTATTTCATCACACGTTCAAAGCCATCTAAGACCCTCCCTCGCTAAAGCTGGTAATCATGATATGACAATAGAACTAAATGACATCCGCGTTATAAAATCAGTCTGGGGAATTCTGCTGCTCAACACTTTCTTTAAACAACTAACATCCAGTCCCCCACCTGCAGGCTCCCATCCTAAGCACTTCAGGGCATCACTCTCTCTGTAAGATCAGGGTAGCCTCTTTTAACGCCTGTTGGTAGCGTAGCAGGGTGGAGGTGGGAGGGGTGGTGCTGTGCTTGTCCCAAAGTAGAAGCAAAATCAGCTTTCTTTCAGGGAAGGCCCTTCCACGGGGTCTAGGGATCCCCGCAGCAGCGCGCCAAGCAGTAAAACCCCGACATGCACTTCATTTAACAAACCTGCACAATGCCCATTCCTGTGCAAGCGCGGCTCTCCGCGCTTCATAGAAGTTAACTTGTTTAATTCTAAAAATAACCCCCAAAGGTGCAGAAAGGGATGCAAAAAATCCACGACGATGGACACTTCCTACCCACCCCAGCCGCCTTACAGAGAAATAACCCTCCGCCTCGTTTCCCCCAGGTCAACCAGCTTCCGTGAGAGAAAAAAACCCGCGTGGGGAGCGATTAAGGGCTAAAATCGCAGGCGCGCGGAGGCCAGTCGTTACCGTCCAGCGGGCACTCGCGGTCCGGGTGGCTGCTCATCGCTGCTCCCCGACTCCGGGCTGTCCCCCCGAGCGGCTCCTTCGGTCTAGGCTGCGGCTGCAGTTGCTGAGGCAGCGCCCCCCTTGGGGCCCCGCAGGTGTGCCCGGCAGCAGCTGGGCGCGCTCCACTGCAGTGGGAGAGCCAAGGACACACGCCTGGCGCTCCTTTCACTTTGCAACCCGAGGCTCCAGCGCCAGTCTCCTGCAGCCCAAGGCTCTTTATTAATACTTGGCGTGCGGCTGGCTGCATGCCATCGACTTGACCCACGGCTAGGGTTCCTTTGACCTCGCTGGGAAGGGGTGGGAACAGTGTGTGGGAGCGTAGGTGATTTGACTGGGTGGGAGGAGGCAGAGAACACCCCCAGCAGCTCTCCCAGGCAAGGCAGGTGAGTGAGCCTCGGCCTGTGACTTTCCCAGAGTCCAGCGTTTTGGAGTAACTACCTCGCGGCATCCGATCTGGCCCCAGAAGCCCTCAGCTAAATATGATGCCTGCTCCAGGCCACCAGCTCAGGGAACCTATTTTGGGGCCGCTGCGGTGAGCAGGATCCGCTACCCATTCATTCAGTACCGCCTTGACATTTCAGAGTTCTACAGGCGAATCCCTGTTCCCCTATCCGATTTCAGCCTCTCTTGCCTCTGCAAAATTCCAGCTTGGAGAAGGGAAAGGCAGGGGGCTAGTGAGCAAAAGGAGGTGGTGAATTAGAAAGGCCCAATATTGATTTGGTGTTCAGACTAAAACGTTCTCAACACTGTATTTCTTCCAGCAAGCCCGTGGAAGTTGGGTTGCAACCATGTTCCTATTGTAAATTTAAATTTAATCAGCAAATGCTGCTTTTTTATCGTTCCTCTAACAAGCTTTATGTTTAAAGTTAAATTCCCTTGGGAGCTTTTAAGTTAGGCTGTTGGTATGATAGGAGTAATCAGTTAATGCCATTTCAAAGCACGTTTATGACAACTACATTAGGGAACTGCATTTGTAATCTAGCTCTCTCAACAGGCTTAAAAAAATTCCTGGTTTATTTTTGCACAGAGCCTAGTATGGCTCCTTAGCAGGTGAATTCTTTCCTCTGCTTTCCTGGTATAGTTTAACTTTTCCTCCTTTCCTAGCATAGTTTACGGCCCTATCAGTGAAGACAGGGCAGACTTTTGCTCTCAGGTAAGAACTGATTATTCCTAATATACCTACAACTAGAGTTATTAAAAATAGTTAAGACCCTGCAGACAAATTTTATGAAGTTTCTGAGACCCCTTCTCCCAACTTACTCTCTTGTATCTGGTTTCAGCAGATAAAGGACTGAGATCTAGTGATGAAAACATAAATGAGAAATTCAGGAGTTCACCTTTGGTAACTCAATTTAAAAATTACTGAAAGAACTATATGCTCCAGCAAGTTTTTCTTTTTGCTTTTAGCATTATAATAAGTGAACCCTCTCTACTCCAGCTCAGAACAGTGACCAGTGTCCACAACTGCTAAATTATATATCTCCCTGTGGGAGATAAACCAGGATCAGCTGGGCCACAGTGGATTGCAGAACTGTCCATTTACACACCTGGACCAGGGAACGCTCCCACACTCTCCTCTCCCCTGCTCCCACCAGGGAATATACCATTCAGAATTTCTTAGACTGAAAACCAGAAATTGCTCTATGAATAGGCTTACCTGGCTTATCTCAACTCTCATATTTATTCTTATAACAAAGGCATTGTTATATTGTCATATTCAATGTTATGTCAATATTCAGTGTTATACTGTTATATTGTCATATTCTTTGGTTCTTTTATTCTTCAGTTACTGAGCAGTTCTCCCTGTGCCAGTTACTAGTAGTAATTTCAAGAAAAATCCTGCCCTCAGAATAATTTAGTGTAGGTAAGACAAGCTTAGAACCAGCTAAACTTTCTTAGATATTTTGTGTTCTTTGAAAGATATGGGGCATTAAGGAGCCACCACCAAGGAGATGGCTAATTCTACCTGAAGGATTAAGAAATGCTTCTAAGCAGAAGTGAGTATTTTCACTAGTGATAGTTGCTATCATCTTTAAACATGCACTGTGAACTAGGCACTCTGCTAAATGCTTTTCATACATTCCCTCCTATAATCCTTATAAGAATGGGAATTATTACTGTGCCCTTTTTACAGATGGACAAGTGGAGGCTCAGCTTAAGTAACTTGCCCACATATACAGAGGTGAGGAGTTTCAGAACCATGATTGGAATGTAGCTTCTATGATTACAGAGCCTCTGCCCAGTTTCTACACTGGATTGCATGAGTTAGCAAAAACTCTTTCCACAATCTGTAATAAGAGCTTTTCACCAAAACCTTTCAGAAAAAAAAAAAAAAAAAAAGGGTCCTTAGAGAGTACAAAGATAGGTTAGTTGGTGTTGTAGGAACCAGACTGCGCCTAGGCAGTCAGGATTCCTCACAAAGAAGCTTCTACTTTTCACAACAAGGCAGGACACAGAAATGGCTCTTAAAGAGCTTGGGAAATCAGTGTCCCAAGGAAAATTGCTGTGAGAACAGCATTCATTAATTCATAAATCCATTCAACTTTTATTGAGCACTTACTTTGTGACACACACTTTCCTGGAAGTTGATTTCATCTCAACAACAGATTCCCCTAGGAGTGTTCCAAGGAATTAGAAATTTACATTCAAAGAAAAGAAAAAAAAATATCTCTTCCATGCAAAGTTGGCCATCAGACCAATTTAGTCAAAGGCAAAAAACATGCCTTTTGCTGGCCAGGGCATGAAAGAGAAGAAAGAACATCCTGAGGCTCTGTTCCAATAAGAAAATTTCCAGCAGTCACACCTACCCAAGAAGGTCCACAAATTGCATTGGTCTAAAATTCTACTGGCATGTTCAACTCAGAGACAGTAAAATGTAATGATTAGGTATCTAGTCTTTGTTCTCAAACACTGCTTTCAAATGCTGATTCATGTGCTACTGGTTCAATCCAGATCTGTCCAATGAATGAGTAACTCAGGCAAGTTACATAACTAGCTAGCCTAAGACTTCACATCCTGTAAAATGGACAAAAGAACGAACCCTATAGGATTTTTGCATGATTATCTATATATTGGTAAACGAGTGTTTTCAGTTGCTTGTAGCAGAGACCAAATTAGCAGAAATTTAAATAAATTAGATTTTTTTTCTTCAGTCAACATTAAGATAGTTGAGGTAGATGGTCTATAGCTGGTACTGCAGCTCCATGTTTTCGTCAGTGACCCAGCAGGCTTCTCATTTTTTGCTCCAGCATCCTTAATAGAGGCTTTCACCTTCAGGACTTCCTTATGGTGACAGAATGGCTGTCGGAACTCTGGACTCTGGATTGACTCATGTTTAAACAAGAGAAAGAAGGGAGAAAGGGCAAAAGTAGCACCTTGCCGCTGAGTCCGGTCCCTTAAAATAACTCTCTTGGAAGCCTTATCCAACAACTTCCATGTAAAATGCGGTAGACGGGCACTCTTCAAGAGAAGTTGGGGTGTGTGTGTGTGTGTGTGTGTGTGTGTGTGTGTGTGTGTGTGTTAGGCACTTTAGAGGTTCTGTTGTTGAGGAAAAGGGAGAGAATGGATATTGGGTGGGCAGCCAGCAATCTCTGCCACAGTTAGAAAACATTTGACACAGTGCCTGACGCAAAGTAAATACCTACCCACCCACCCCCAAAAAAAGAGAGAAAGTAGCTATGTTAGAGAGTCAAGAAAACCACAGATAAATAATAATAGGACTGGTCTAATTGTGTGTGCATTTTGGGGAGGGGAAAGGGGAAGAATTTGAGTCAAGAGGGTATTGTTTATAAAAGAACATTCATTCATGTTGTAAGTTCCAAGCAGAGCTCAGGAAACATCAATTAGATTATAAACAGTACACTTTGGTGCAGAAAAACTTGAGAAGGAACCCAAATTAGACACTTCACAGAAGAATTCTAGGCCAAGAGAAACAGTACACAGCAATTCATAGAAACAAAAATGGAGAGGTGGGAGAGAAAAAAAAATGAGCAAGGGATTTAACATTTATTGTTTTCAAGCAACCTAAATGGCATCTGGCTATCTTAAAAAAATTTTTTATAAGCACCTAATTAGGAGGATACCAAGGGCACACAGACTTGAGGAGGTTGGAGGTTGGAAAATCAGATTTGGAAGTCAAGCAAGAACCAAGCTAGTTTGGGAAGTTCCGTAGCAAGCCCAGCAAGCATCCTTTTGCTTGGACAAGTCTGGCCAAGGATGTCCCCTCTCCCTGAAAGCCCCATTGCCACCATCAGACCCTACTTCAGGTACCCTGAGAGAGTACAGTTTCTTATTTTTGTATCACTTAATCCTATCAATCACGTGTGTGCATCTGATTGGTCTGCCTGGATCCAATGGTGGAGACTAATCTCCTTTCTTGGCTTCCCCAGGTGCTGAAGTGCCCTCACCATTACCGTACTCAATGAGAGGACCACCACACACATAAGAAGGAGGGATAGATGCAGACAGCCAAAAAGAAAGATAAATACCAACTGCAGTGTCCAAATGAGCCAAGCTGTGCTGAGCACTTGGCACATCATCTTCACAGCAATCCTGAAAATCAATTATTACTACTTTCATTTTATCAATTTAAAATTAGTTTTTTGTCTAAGGCTACAATAGTAAGCAACAGAGCTGAGATTCAAACTCGTGGATTCCAAAAGCTCTTCCTTTTTGCAACATGTGGCACAACTTCCATGTTTCATTTTATCTGGATTTGGCATTGTAAGACGCATTTCCCTCCCTGAGTCTAGGGAGGGTCTGGGAGAGTGACATGGAGAAATTAAAAGCCATTTGACATCGGGGTGCCTGGGTGGCTCAGATGGTTAAGCGTCTGCCTTCGGCTCAGGTCATGATCCCAGGGTCCTGGGATCGAGCCCCACATCGGGCTCCTGGCTCAGCGAGGAGCCTGCTTCTCCCTCTGCCTCTCTCCCTGCTCATGCTTTCTCTCTCTCTCTCTCTACTCTGTGTCTCAAATGAATAAATAAAATCTTTAAAAAAAAAAAGCCATTTGACATCGAACACGATTCTTGCAGCTAGCAAACAATGAAGACACTTGATAATGACTTGACTACTAATCAGTC